ATAATAATCAAAACTGTGGAAATCGATCACGTAGTATTAAACCAACGGAGCAAGAAAACTTTTTTTTCCCTTTGTTTCTCACGCCACCCACATTGTTTTCTTCACTCATTTAATTGTTTCTATTTCCCCACATGTTTAACTCTTCATCTCCCTCCACCATTCTACACACTTCCATCCCTTAGTATAAATACTAGCTAGTCATGGAGGGACAAGGTAAAAAAAAACAAATAATAATAATAAAAAAAACATAGATAGAGATAGGAGGGTTGCTTCGGGGAGGAGAAGCAGGAAGGTGTCATCTTGTTGCCCCGTCGAAACTGTGGACTTACGAGGTGTGCCGTTGACCCTAACCTTTAGATATATATTTCATGTTAATATATTTTTGTGCATTTCCTTTTTATTTTTTTACATGAATTTACTCCTTTAGATAATAAATTAAAAGAGAAAGATAATAATCATAATAATAAAAAAAATATATACATGTTGCACATAAATTTCACTTCGCTTAAAAAAAAAAGAAACAAAAAGAAAAGTGTAATTGCACACTTTCGGTAATGTATAAAGAAGGAACTTTTTATTCTTTATTATCATCATTATTATTATTGTTGTTATTATTATCATTAGTACTTTTTTTTAAAATAAAAAAAAAGAATTATCATAACCGAAGGTTAAGGGAAGAAATTGATAGCAAAATAAAAGGGTTGATTATTATAATGATTAATATATATACGGCAGTAGTTTGAAAAAAAAAATAAAAGTTTGGTTTATAAACAAAAAGGCCGTGGGTTAAAAAAAATAACTAGAGTATAAAAAAGAAAAGGAAAAAAAAACATTTTGGTTTTATAAACAAGAAGGCCGGGGATTTTTTTTTAAAAAAACTAGAGTAAAAAAAACAGTTTGTTTTCTTAAAAAAAAAAACAATTTGGCCTTATAAATAAAGAAGGCCGACAGTTTAAAAATAATAACAAGGGATTTATATAAATATATACAAAACTTTTATTTATGTCCTAGATGAAACTTTGTTCATGTCATAGTAAAATTTTTATCTATTTCATTTAATTGTTTTTGTTTCATGACGTAAGTGACAATAATTATAAAAAAATTGGTATTTTTGTTTCCTTAAAAAAAGTGGTATATGTTTGATCAATGAATAGTGTTGTAAATTGTTTACGCTTTGAATGTTTAATTGATGTTTTTATCAGGTAGCATGATGTTTAGAAAATAAAAAGGGGACAACATCTTATAATGATTCAGACAGAAAAAAACGATTTATGTAAACGACTTTACTAGATTAATCAAACAAATTAGTGGACTAAGTAAAGGTTCAAAGTTTATTTTAACGACGTACCCTGACCAGGTATTGTCACGTTCTAGTATGTAAACCAAACTACATTTTAAGGCCGGACCGTGTCCATGTGGATGAGCCTATAAATAATCATACCACAACGTGCGCACGAGAACCCAACGATGACCCCGTGGGTCTAGGGTTCACTTCTGATTACTGGACCCAAGGTCACGGGGAGGTATCCGAAGTAAAACTACGAATCGACTAGTGCGGTGTTCCAGCCTAGTCACGGCTTAGTTCCTAATCTGTGGTTAACCTAGTAAGTCAAAAGTTTTCCAAATGTCCCCAAGTAACTATTCAAAGTGAAATTATTTACTCGATGATTTTTAATTATGCGAAAAGTTTTTTTTGAAATAAATTGAAGAACTTAAAAGGCTCAAATATATTTACATGTTATATATGTCTACTGGTTATTTGCCACTCAGCTTATGCTGAGCGTGTAGTGTTTAACTGCACGCAGGTACTAGTAAGGGGAACGACTGCTGAGGAGGAAAGCTTGGACGTGGAGGCCGTGCTAAGAAAGGAGATTCTGTTTTAAACAATAATTGAATAAATTATTGACCATATTTTGGTTTGGGCTTCAACCCCAAGTTGTACTTACTTATGAATGTTATCACTCTTTTTACTTACTCAAAAAAAAAGTCTTTAAACTCTTTAGTATCGGAATGAGAATTTGTTTTAAATAAAAAAATTGTTTTACTAAGCAACCGGGTTTTACTAGCACTCTGGTCTGGATGACTCGGGTCACCCAGGGTAGGGTGTTACATGAATTGTACTATGCATTCTATTGTTAGATTACAACTCAGCTTATGCTGAGCATATAGCGTTGTTTTTGCTATACGCAGGTGAGTGAGATGATCATGGAGCCTGACCCGGATGATTGGGCGATCGGGGTGGCGAATAGGCAACAGCTTGGACCTGACTTTTTTTCCATTTAGTTTTATAAACTGTTTTGGGCTTGAACCCACCGTTGTTGCATTTACTTCGTTTAAGACTTAACGTTTATTTCCGTTATTGGTTCCGCCATGAATCATTTTTAAGAGAACTAATTCCGCAACAGTTTTATTAATTATATCAAAGGTTTTCCAGTTGCAAAAGTAATTTAAGGAGTTTCCTTTAGACGGTCTTAAAAACCCATCTACGTAACCCCTCCGGCTCGTTGGGCCGCGGCGAATACGGTTCGTGGGACGGAGGGTGTTACAGACCGGTAATACTTTTCGGAGAAAGACCGGTCACATTTTTACTTTGGAATCTGTTGACCGGTCACGTTGTTGCACGGACTTCCAATCTACCATTTCTTTATGAACAACGTATCCGCGTCCTGAGACATATGTGGTGACTTAATTCATCCAGGCATCCATTTTTTAACGGGCATCCAATTTTACTTGGGTAATTTTAATCCAATTCTCAACATCATGACCTAGCTAATATTGGAGAATTTAGATCATGCACTATGATCGTGAACCCTCTCCAAGGTCTAGCCCTCTTCCAGGAATCACCCTTCTTCTAGGGCCCCTCTTCCAGGTATTGAGCCTTATTTATATTACTAGACCGACCAAGCCGACCCAGTCTTCCCTCATGGGGGTATGATAGTATGACTGTGAGAATCTTCTCGCTTCCTATCTACATGGTCATGTACTATGTGTTTGGAAGTCTCACTTTTTCCTAAAATGAGAACTTTCAATCCAAAAGCAATGATCTCATGAGATGATATCATATTTTTGGCATCTTTTATTTCCTTCTGTTGAAACACGGGTTTATCACGTTTTCATACTAAAGCCGTGTTTGTTTTTATGACAGGTTTGATAATGCCAAACCGCCGTGAACAAGACAAAACATTGAATATACAAGGCGAAGAACGAATATTAGAACAAGAGCCAAAAGAAGACCAAGACCGAAGACTGTAGTCCTAGTGTCGTTGAGTCGATCACAATTGTGATCAAGACCGACCCAACCTTTACACCTTGGCTCTTTAGGCTAAAATTCTTTTCATTGCATTTCACACATCATAAAAATGCTTCTCAAACATGTTTAATACATTAAAAGCACTTGGTGTTCGCCCAAACCAAAACCAAGCCATCCGGCGTTCGTCTTTCAGAAACCGGCATTCAGCTTTCAGAAACCGGCGTTCGGCATTCAATTATCGGCGTTGGTTTTTGGCGTCTGAACCAACCAAGTTGTTTTCAACATTTTATGATTGGTTTTTACTTCTTGGCATGTTTAAACAGTTCTCCAACAAAAACACTTTAAAAACCACCTTCCGTTTGGCAAAAACCACGCAAAACGGCATAAACTTGGCTAGCCGTGGTTTTTACTCAAATGACGTGATTTTTAAAGTGTCTCACTTGATTTCTTAGCTAAACACATCAAATAAGTGTTTTAAACACTTGGTTTTTACTTTGGAGAACTTTGGATTTTTCGGTCGGTTTTTGCATCGGTTGGCTAGGCCATGGTTCAGGCAAAAACCATGGGTTTTTGACTAACCATCCACCAAGCGATGGGAAGAATTACCCATCGATGGGTAAGCGGACCTTTAGCCCAACCAAGTTCCAGTACCATGCCAAACAGCGATGGGGAGTTCTACCCATCGCTGTTCAAGCCTTGGTCCAACATCAACACAAGGCAGAACGACCTTACCCAGCGATGCGAACTTTACCCCATCGATGGGAACCCAGCGATGAGAAGGAATAACCATCGCTGGGTAGGCATTACCGTTGAAAGTCATTTAAGGATGATTCTTTCCTTGTTTGGAAGTCAACCTCACACCCAGCGATGGGAAGCATGTACCCATTGATGGGAAGGTGACCGTTGGCTTCAAAACTAAAGGAAAATTGGCTTACCAGCGATGGGTAAAGTCCATACATCGCTGGGAAGCCAATATCCTGCAGATCTACATTTGAATCAATCCCATAAATCAAGCCAATCACCCCTTTAATGCCTTGGTCCGTTGGAGCCTATTTTGGCACTATAAAAAGGGGTGTTTGGGTCTGCTTTACTCACCAATTCACTTCACATTTCTCATACTTTCATTGCATTCAAACAATATCATTTTCCATTGCTTTCTAGAGCCAATCCGTGTGAAGTTTGAGTTGTTCTTGAGCGTACTTAGTTTACTCATTATCTACTCTTAAAGAGAGTGTCGTTCTTGAGTGTATTGGTGTTCTAAGACACGTTGAGAGAAAGAATTTCTCTCGTTTGATTCGAAGGAAGGGTTTTTTCCTTCGAAGGATTTGTTGAGGTTTGTGTGACTTGAACTCTCAAGTTGTAAGGGTTTGTTAAGCACCATTAAGCTTAACGAGATAGTAGTGTAGCTCGAGAGAGTCTCTCGGGAGGCTGGATTAGCCACAAGTTGTGGTGAACCAGGGTAAATTCGGTGTGCCTCTTACTCTTCTCTTTATTTCTTCTTTAAATTTTTTATTCCTGCGATTTATACGATCAAACGCTATTCACCCCCCTCTAGCGTTGGTCTTTTATTCTAACAATTGGTATCAGAGCCTAACTTGCGTCCAAACTTAACCGTTTGAGAGTGTATTTCAAAAAATAATAGCCGTTGGGCACATCATTTAATGCCCAACAGCTATATTTTTGAATTCACACGGCCCTAAACTTCTTTCCCTATATATTTCCATCACCATTGGCCATTTTATACACACTTTTACCATCACAATCTTCATTCTTTAGCCTTTTCATCCAAATTCATCTCTCGTTCTTCACAAACTCCTCAACGATGGCCGGAGGAAAGAAGACGAAGGCTTCCAAGAAGAAAAGCATCGTCGAAGCCTCAAGCTCTGCGCCCCCGCTGTTTCCCTACCTGGACGGATCCTTCTTGGAGTTTGGCTCGGAGGAAGAACTCACCCGCTTCCTCACCCACTTCGCCAAACGCCCAATCTCTCCGCCCCGAGTGCTCCCGGAGTTGTTTCCCCAACAAAAGGGGTACCACGAGCTCGACAACCAACTCCAAACGTTGGGTTTGTGGCCCTTCGTCTCCAAGAGCCACACGTCCTAGAACTCCGCTTTCGTCCAGGCGTTCTACTCAAATCTGCGCCGTGACGAGGACACCATCTACAGCAACATCAATCTCTACGACATAGAGATTGACTTGCTGACTTTTGTACGGATCGCAGGGCGGTCCATCCGAGGGAACGACATCGTGACGTACTGTGGCGACGATTGGATCCTCAACAACGAGGCGGTCGTCATTCGCGAGCTTGGGATCACCAACTTGATCCACCACAGCGGCGCACCGACGATCCACTCGACCCCACCGGAGAAGCGCCTTCTCCTGTACATCCTCACCCGGATTCTCCGCCCCCGGGATGGCAGCCACACCTCGCTCTTCAATGAAGACTTGAAGGCGATTCACGCCATCATGCACGGCGCCTTGATCAATTGGGCAAAATTCGTCATGATTCACATGACGGATTGCGCTTCCCTCGCCACCGAGCGGAGCTTGCTCTACACCTTCCTCGTCATGGACCTCATCGTCTCCGCCGACATCCACATCGCCGTGCCAAGCACGAAGATGACGAAGCTGTGGGTCATCGCCGACAACACCTTCAAGAAGAAGTCCAGAGACTGAGACGGCGCCGGACCGAGTCGTGCCCGTGCCCGTGCCCCTGCCCCCGCTCCCGCCCGGGCCTCGTTGCAGTCCATAGCCGACACCCTGTGTAATACCCCGTATCAAGATGGGAATGGGAAGAGCTCAAAAGGATTGATAGTACTACTCATACCAACAAGGTGCATCTTCTTTTCGAGAACTCATCACCTAAAAAACTCCAAAGTTAAGCGTGCTTGACCTGGAGCAATTTTAGGATGGGTGACCCCCTAGGAAGTTTTCCTTGGGCGCGCACGAGTGAGGACAAAGTGTGCGGGAAAGACTTGTGCTGGTTTGTGGGGCCAGTCTACAATCCTTTGAGCGGACACTTACGGCTAGGGTGGGGGCCGGGGTGTTACAAATGGTATCAGAGCAACCCTGCGACCGTGACGGGCCAAAAGAGCTTAGTTCACCTAGCAGGGAAGATCTATGGGTTTAAAAAAAAGGATGCAACGAGGACGTTGCATTCCTAAGTGGGGGTGAATGTAATACCCCGTATCAAGATGGGAATGGGAAGAGCTCAAAAGGATTGATAGTACTACTCATACCAACAAGGTGCATCTTCTTTTCGAGAACTCATCACCTAAAAACATCCAAAGTTAAGCATGCTTGACCTGGAGCAATTTTAGGATGGGTGACCCCCTGGGAAGTTTTCCTTGGGCGCGCACGAGTGAGGACAAAGTGTGCGGGAAAGACTTGTGTTGGTTTGTGGGGCCAGTCTACAATCCGTTGAGCGGACACTTACGGCTAGGGTGGGGGCCGGGGTGTTACACCCTGAATTGGCTAACCCTCGGGTGGACGACATGGGGCAGTACATGGAGCGGATGGACTGGACCCTGCAACGCCAACACCACGACATGACGGCGTTCTTCCGCGGCATCAACTACGTCCCGCCACCCATTGACAGCACCATCCTCGGCCAAAACTTTGAAGCGAGGATGAGGACGATGACTCCTATGCTCCGTCCTCCTCTCCCGACGAGGTCGACTTTGAAGACGCGGTCGTCAGCGATCCCATGAACGTCGAGGACGACGAGGATAATGACGCCGACGACGAGGACACCGACTCCTAGACTCTCTTTTCTTTTCTTTTAATATGAATGTATTTTTTAATTTCCATTCTGTTGTATTCCGCATTTCTTTTTTAATGAATAAAAGTTTACTTTTAATTCTTTTTGTTAATGTCAAAAGAGGGAAGATATAACGGTTATGCATTAATTGAGGGGGAATTTTTTTCAACACATATACTTTGTTAAAAATAAAATTGCATTTATTAAGGGGGAACATTTTTTTAAGTCTTAAAATAATCCTCCTATGCATAACCTCGTCTTGTTTGCCATTATCAAAAAGGGGGAAATTGTTGAAACACGGGTTTATCATGTTTCGTACTAAAGCCGTGTTCGTTTTTATGACAAGTTTTGATAATGCCAAACCGCCGTGAACAAGACAAAACATTGAATATACAAGGCGAAGAACGAAGATTAGAACAAGAGCCAAAAGAAGACCAAGAACGAAAACTGTAGTCCTAGTGTCGTTGAGTTGGTCAAAATTGTGATCAAGACCGACCCAACCTTTACACCTTGGCTCTTTAGGCTAAAATTCTTTTAATTGCATTTCACACATCATAAAAATGCTTCTCAAACATGTTTAATACATTAAAAGCACTTGGTGTTCGCCCTAACCAAAAACCAAGCCATCCGGCGTTCGGCTTTTAGAAACCGGCATTCGGCTTTCAGAAACCGGCGTTCGGCATTTGGTTAACGGCGTTGGTTTTTGGCGTCCGAACCAACCAAGTGGTTTTCAACATTTTATGATTGGTTTTTACTTCTTGGCATGTTTAAACAGTTCTCCAACAAAAACACTTTAAAAACCACCTTCCGTTTGGCAAAAACCACGCAAAACGGCATAAACTTGGCTAGCCGTGGTTTTTACTCAAATGACGTGATTTTTAAAGTGTCTCACTTGATTTCTTAGCTAAACACATCAAATAAGTGTTTTAAACACTTGGTTTTTACTTTGGAGAACTTTGGATTTTTCGGTCGGTTTTTGCATCGGTTGGCTAGGCCATGGTTCAGGCAAAAACCATGGGTTTTTGACTAACCATCCACCAAGCGATGGGAAGAATTACCCATCGATGGGTAAGCGGACCTTTAGCCCAACCAAGTTCCAGTACCATGCCAAACAGCGATGGGGAGTTCTACCCATCGCTGTTCAAGCCTTGGTCCAACATCAACACAAGGCAGAACGACCTTACCCAGCGATGGGAACTTTACCCCATCGATGGGAACCCAGCGATGAGAAGGAATAACCATCCCTGGGTAGGCATGACCGTTGGAAGTCATTTAAGGTTGATTCTTTCCTTGTTTGGAAGTCAACCTCACACCCAGCAATGGGAAGCATGTACCCATCGATGGGAAGGTGACCGTTGGCTTCAAAACTGAAGGAAAATTGGCTTACCAGCGATGGGTAAAGTCCATACATTGCTGGGAAGCAAATATCCTGCAGATCCACATTTTAATCAATCCCATAAATCAAGCCAATCACTACTTTAATGCCTTGGTCCGTTGGAGCCTATTTTGGCACTATAAAAAGGGGTGTTTGGGTCTGCTTTACTCACCAATTCACTTCACATTTCTCATAATTTCATTGCATTCAAACAATATCATTTTCCATAGCTTTCTAGAGCCAATCCGTGTGAAGTTTGAGTTGTTCTTGAGCGTACTTAGTTTACTCATTATCTACTCTTAAAGAGAGTCTCGTTCTTGAGTGTATTGGTGTTCTAAGACACGTTGAGAGAAATTAGTTCTCTCGTTTGATTCGAAGGAAGGGCTGTTTCCTTCGAAAGATTCGTTGAGGTTCGTGTGACTCGAACTCTCAAGTTGTAAGGGTTTGTTAAGCACCGTTAAGCTTAACGAGATAGTAGTGTAGCTTGAGAGAGTCTCTCGGGAGGCTGGATTAGCCACAAGTTGTGGTGAACCAGGGTAAATTCGGTGTGCCTCTTACTCTTCTTTAAATTTTTTATTCCTGCGATTGCTACGATCAAACGCTATTCACCCCCTCTCTAGCGTTGGTCTTTTATTCTAACACCTTCTTGGTCCGAGGACAGATAAGGATCCATGTATAGTACAGATGTGAACTTTCTTCCAGGTCTAACCTATCTCAAGGCAATAACCCAAATATCAAGGCCCTTATCTCAAGTGTTTCATTTTTTCCTTAACAATTTTTTTTATGACTTCTAGTTTCACCAATTCAATCAATGTCTCGAGTCTCTGTGGTGACCTGTCCTTGAATTTCGATGGGTAAAACATTTTCATGCATTTATTGAGATGATTGCAATTACACATGTATAGCCTGACCCCTCAAATACTCAAGGATAGAACTTCTTTAAGTGATGTAAATTCAAACATCTTTCGACCTCTTTCCTCTACATGGTCTCGAGCTTATACATTTTTAGACGGATGTTCGTAGTCACTTTGTACGGTCCCTTCCACTTCTTTGCAAATTTTCATCTATCCCTAAATTTTCTTACTTCCCTGCGCCTTAAGACCTCATCGCCTACATGGAAATAGTGAGGCTCCACCTTGTTGTCATGGTAGGTTTTTAGAGTCTGCTGGTATTCAACCATTTTCGCTTCGACCATAACCCTTCTTTCTTCTACCATGTTTAACTCGGTCACACCATTTTTATTGTTCTCTTCATCATTGTATCACGCCTTCCGGAATGTTGGAATCTTCACCTCAGTTGGTAGCCTTGTCTCGCATATGGACAAAGGGATTTTCACTAGTAGCCCTCCTCGACGTTTCTTTATTCTTGTAACACCCTGACCCGCGTGATCTGGATACACAGACTAGCGGATTGATTTTTCACTAAATTGGTATCCAAACAACTTAATTCCAAAACAACTTTCAAAACATTTAATTCAAAACATTATTTAGATATTCATCAGAGTTAACAAAACTGTGTGGAAGCTTAAATACTTAATTCAAAATAAAATTCTAGGTTCTTGCTCGGAAACATGTTGAATTCAAATATGATATTAAATCAAATGCCTCCTCACCTAGCATCCATCCATCTCCTCGTCCTCGCTACCCTCCATTATTATTTCCTTATATGTCATTCCTGTTACCTATATGTAGGAAGAGAACAAATGCCTCAAGCTCAGCATTTCTTCTAAGGGAGAAATATTTAACGTTCAACTACGCATATAGATGAACTCACTAGCTCATAATTTCATAAAATATCATGCATAGAAGTACAACATCAATAATATCAATAATATCAAACAATTTATAAATCAACCCTACTTACATGGATTACCAAATTTACCTCATTCTTAACTTAGGAATTTATGCCACGTAATCTCTATACAGGTCCATCATCAATCCTCCTTAATTTTAAGCTCATAACTTATCCTAGACTAAAGCTAATTCTTTCTTTTTTCTAGAGTCCCGATTCAACCAATAATTCCTAAATGTATTCCTATTTTTTTTCTCGGTCTACCTGTGTTCAAGTTCATGCTTTAATATTCCCAGATTCTTACAGAAACATAGTAAAGCTCATAAACATAGATACTAAACAATTAGCGGCCTAGTGTCGGGTGTAAACACCTTTCACTCACCGTCATGCAACATAGAAGACCTCGAAATCAATCCAAGATTCGAATAAAGACAAACAAACAAGAAAAATGGCATACAGCTGCTGGTCTGGTATTGTTTAGGGTACCTTGGTACTGCGAGGCGCTACCTTGCTACCGTCGGTCTGGCACCCCCTACTGTCCGGGCGCAGGTATCAGTAGAAGAATTCCCTCTATGGTGGTAGTAGGGTACCACTAAGCAGTACCTAGCTACCATCTGACGTTGATAAATCACCGAAATAGCAGAGTTTAGTCCAAGTCCAAACCATTCAATACGTATAATGTTTTTAAAGGTTATTGACACGAAAACCCTACAAATTAGTGTAAGAGAACATACCTGGCCTTCCTCGATCAATCGATTCCAATGACATCATATATTTTTAATAAATCATCATTCAAATTATATACAAATAGATCACATCTATCTATTATTTAAAAAGCCATGGATTTCCATTGGTCTTTTCCCGCCCAATGCTCTTCGCAATTACATAAGGTATGTGCTCATAAATTTGGTAAGTATTAAATGCTTTTAATTTTTCATATGGTATGTGTTAGCGTAGTATATTTGTAAATATTCATTTATCATTTATTGGGCTATGTACATTATGGGCCCGTAGCTAGTATACTCCGTCATGTATATATACTTCCTGTGACTAATGGAAAACACAAGTTTCACGTCAAATATTTTCTACATGGTATCAGAGCGATCCTAGGGTTAGTTTCCAAACCCCTGCTCTCGTGTCGTTGGTGCGCCGCCCGTCTGTCTCTCTCGGTGGTGCTGTTCGTTGTAGGTGCGTCGGAGTCAGAGCTCGTCGGCCCTCCTCCTTCGCTGAGCAGATCCGGAAGGTTTGTTCCAGTCCAGCATCGTGCGTCAAGCTTTCCAGCATCGTGCGTCAAGCTTTGTCCTCTGCAAACTTCGTCCGTCAAGCTTCGTCCGTCCAGCATCGTCAGGTCTGTTCGTCCGCCGACAAGTCCGTCTGTCCGCCGCTCGTAATCCACAATTCGGCCAGATTTCTGTCCGTTCTTGTCCAGATCCGCCCGTCCAGATCCGTCTGTTCCAGCGATCCATCCGAGCAGATCTGCCCGTCCAGCGATCCGCCCAGCAGGTCTTCGTTCGTGCTGTCTTCGTCGACCTCCGTCCTTCAGCCGTCAATTTCAGCCGGTTCTTTCATCCTTCAGCAGTCAATTGCAGCCGAACCCTCAAAAAAAAATCTCATACCATGGCTGCCGAATTGTGTGGAGATAAAATGGTTTGGTTAATGTCTGTGATTGATTCTTTTTCGTCCAATCAAATGAATGGTATGACTTCTACATTTTGTGAGTGGTTAATTGATAGTGGAGCTTCACATCACATGACAGGATCTCTTTCACACTTATTTAATGTTGAGGATGTCTCTCCTCATTCCATATGTCTCTCTGATGGGTCCCGTGTTCAGGCTGTCAGACAGGGGGAGTGTTAAGGAATGTAGTAGGGTTTGTCGTTAATGGGCTTATTCTTGTTGGGCTCATAATTAGGTCATAGTCTTGTAGCTATTATAAATAGCAGATTTATGTGTAATCAAATCATTCAAGTTTAGAACCGTGTTTACATTTTTAAATCTATATTAATACACGAAATTATGTTCTAAACTTTCCATTATTATTTACACGAAATTATGTTCTAAACTTTCCATTATTATTTTTATTTAATTTTTTTTTGAATGCTATTGACTCTATTACAAGGTAGTATCTGTTCATACTATTCTCAAGCTAATGACGCACAAAGAGCCAATGCTGCTGCCTTCGCTGGGGCTCGAACCTGGGTGAACTTCCCCATGAATCCTGGGGAGTGGGCTTGCTACCACTCAAGCCAGGGGAGAAGTTCATTATTATTCTTATTTAATATTATGGTATCGTATTGTCATTTTAAAATTTAAAGGTATATTAAATAAAAGTATGTGCTCATATATATTAATACACGAAATTATGTTCTAAACTTTCCATTATTATTTACACGAAATTATGTTCTAAACTTTTCATTATTATTCTTATTTAATAGTATGGTATCGTATTGTCATTTTAAAATTTAAAGGTATAATAAATAAAAGTATGTGCTCATATATATTAATACACGAAATTATGTTCTAAACTTTCCATTATTATTTACACGAAATTATTGTCTAAACTTTCCATTATTATTCTTATTTAATAGTATGGTATCGTATTGTCATTTTAAAATTTAAAGGTATATTAAATAAAAGTATGTGCTCATATATATATTAATACACGAAATTATGTTCTAAACTTTCCATTATTATTTACACGAAATTATGTTCTAAACTTTCCATTATTATTCTTATTTAATAGTATGGTATCGTATAGTCATTTTAAAATTTAAAGGTATATTAAATAAATGTATGTGCTCATAAAATTGGTAAGTATTAAATGCTTTTAATTTTTCATATGGTATGTGTTAAATGCTAAACGTGTATAGAACCGTGTTTACATTTTTAAATCTATATTAATACACGAAATTTTGTTCTAAACTTTCCATTATTATTCTTATTTAATAGTATGGTATCGTATTGTCATTTTAAAATTTAAAGGTATGTTAAATAAAATCTTTCACAGCATTAATACATGGTACTAATACATGGTATGTAATTATAATTACCATTAATTGTATGTAATTATAATTACCATTACCATAAAAAACTTTAATTCTTCGTGAAAATTCTGGATAGTATAATTACGCTACCTTACCGTCCCAGAAAATTAAACGAGTGTTCAGGAAACGAGAGTTTTAGAGAGTTTTAATTAATCTGTGCTTCACCTCTGTTTTTGGCCGGAGATGGGATTGATCACCGCCCTAAAAAATGTTCATGAAAAATCCGGGTTGTTGATGATGAAGCTAAGAGCAATTAGAGTTTACCACGTTGCTGCTCATTCTCGAGGGCCGGAATCGTTGGATGTTGTTTTCCACGACTCAGAGGTTAGTTCTACATTGTTTTATATTTTACAAATAATAGATCTTTAAACAAAAAATAAAAATTTAATTATAGATTAATGTTTTATATTTGTTGTTAGGGCGATCGGATCCATGCTCAGGTTAAAGATTAAAGATACTGATATAAAAACATTCAAAGAAGCTTTGGAAGAAAATGCGGTTTACTTAATCATAAGGGTCAAGGTTTTACGCAATTTCCAAGGCACAAAAACTACCAATCACCCTTGCATGCTCCAATTCTTGGAAAAGACCAAGATTCAAAAACTAACAGAAAATGGATTTCCTAATTTTCGATTCTACTTTAAGAGTTTTGAAGATGTACTCAAAACAAAGTTTGCTGACCAAGTTTTTTAGTTGGTAAGAGCCATTTACATTTACATAACTTAAATACTTACACATATGAAATACATTTTATGTATTATGATTATGAAATTTTTAAAATTGTATTTTTATGGATTTTCAGATATAATCGGAAAGTAGTTAGTCGAACTGTGCCCGAAACCCGGATGGTTAATAATGCCCCGGAGCAAATGATGGAAGTTACCTTGGAGAACCACAAGTGACTTTTTAATAACCAAATTCATTTTAATTAAAAAAAATATTATACTTTGAAAAAATTACTAAATAATTCATTTGCATGATACGTTATTTTATGGTTAGCTAATTACTAAAAATTGTGACACATATTATATTTAAAAATAATTATAACTTTTTTTTGTAGTGGCATTCGGTTGAATTGTACGTTATGGGGAAATCACATCAATGTTTTCATTGATGGATTGAGTGCATCGGAATCGACCCTTCCAATTTTGGTGTTGCAGATGGTGAAACCTAAGTTCTACAATGGTATATATATTCATAAATTAATTCAAATTAATTTTGAAAGACATGTACCCAATGATTTAATTCTAATTGTATTTTTTTTCAAATCATTTAGAGCAAGTGTGTGTTACAACAGTTTACTCTGTGAGCAAGGTTTTACTCAATGATGAGTGTGATGAAGTTAAAGCTTGGAGAGAAAAGTAAGTCCATATGTACTCTTGCAGATTTTTTATTTCTAAAAATATAATCAACGTGTTGTTTAAATTATTAACAATTGTAATCATGCAGGTTAATGTTAAGTGCTAATCATTTAACCCAGAGTTGTAGTATCGTCTCAACACAATCAAGATCAAGAGATGATAAAAGAACGAGCAACTTGAAAGTGGTCTCCATTCATGAACTAAAAAACATGAGCAATGTAAGACATATTTCTTTACATGTTATAAAAAAATTAAGTTACTTTTCACCTTAAATCTATACTATTCTTAAAAGCAGGGGAAATTCTGCAAGCCTTTTTCCCGCCCAAACAATTAGCTATTAATGGTAAGAACTTAAATAGCCTTGAAATATTTTTTTGGTAATATATATTACCTTTTATGCATTTAATTATAGAAAATATTGCTACATAATTACCTTATATAGCTTTTATTTAATGTCAATTTAATCACGGAAACATTTTTCAAAAATATAATACCTTTTATACGTTTAATTGTAAGAAAATATTTTTACATTATTACCTTATACAA